GAAAACTTCTTACAAGGGACCCAGATGACTTCACCTTCCTCCCAGAGTCGACTAGAGAGAGAGAGGACACCCAGCTTCCACCAGCAGACTTCATCTCTTCCCATTTGATCTGAGGAGTGGTGAGAGGCCTTTGGCCGCAGTGACACCCTGTTTATTGTTCACATCTGCTATACAGCAAGGGCCCCAACGTTGGCTAGCCTAGGACAATACTACTGGCCAGTAGTTTAGCGGGGGATAGATACTTTTAAGTAAAGATATTAATGTTGATTGCATTAAATCTAAGTGTATTATCTGAGACATTCTGACATTGCAGGCTTTCCTGCATGCAATAGATTGCTGCTGCGTGTCAGATTGCCTTATCCTGTTATTGGTTGTATTACATGTGATTGGGGAGCCGTTAAGTGTTTTTTCTATTCCATAGTCATTAAATCTGTAATAAAACTTCACAAGGTGTGCTGGTGTGCTGTGGGTTCATTGCTTGTGGTGTGCACAGAGGTGAAACAGAAGACCCGATCATCCAGCGGCTCCTTCGGGGGTGAGCGCTACAAATGAATGCCTCAGTATTGAGGCATTCATTGAATAGTTAAGCTTTTGTAAAAGCTTATTTATTTCATTAATGAAAGAATGAAGCCGCTACATGCAAATACAGGAGCGCTAAATAGCGCTCCAGTATTTGACAGCTGAAAATAGCAGAGAGGCAGCAGAGTGACTCACCTCCCTGCTATTTGTTTTGACAGCTCCATAGACTGGCCCAATGTTTATGAAGCTATGCGATACAATGTATCTCTGTGCTTGAAATTTATAATTTCTGATTGTCTGGGCACGATCAAAGAGCTTTAGTGAGATCTGAATCTGATATGCTGTCAGGATCAGTCTCTAAGGTTATTATTATTAGCTGTTCCTAAGTTTGGAGCAGCCTAATAGCCAAAAGCAGTCATAGTGATTGCTTGATATAAACTTTTTTTTTTTACAAAGTATAAAAAATAAAATGTAAAACAAAATTAGGAAAATAAAAATTAGATATAAATATATTTTTATACTATAATTATTATAAAAAATTAAAAAAAATAATCAACTTGTGAAAAAAGTTTAGTTTTTTCCCCTCATTTTTTATATTTGATTCAAACTAAGTGAGGCGTTAGGTACATGTTTGATATAATTATATAGCCCTATCTGTCCTCTAAAAAACAATATATAATATGTGTGGGTACGTTTAGTAAGAAAGTATATTACTGCTGTGGAAGAATCACACAGCAAAAAATTTCAAAAGCGTGTCAGTCATTTATGAACAGAAACTGAAAACAAGCTCAGTCATGAAGGGGTTAAAGTGTCACCTATGATCAATTTTGGGTATGGTAGTTTTTTTGCGATTTCGCAGATGCGCACAATTTTAAGGCTTGACATGTTTGGTGTCTATTTACACTTCTTTTATATTTTACCAAAAAATTGGGTAATTGGGTAAAGTACCGCAATGCTTAATGCTGAAAAATGGCCTGGCCAGGAAGGGGAAGTATAAACACCTGGTCAGCAAGTGGTTAAGGAAGAACTCCGGGATGTATTAAAATTAACTTTTGCAGTGGGGCTACCCCTGCACTGCAAGGGTTAAGTGCTCACTTTGTGTAGGGACAAAATAAAGATGATACTGTATATATACCTGATCCTCGGTTCAGCAGACTCTTCTTCACTGTGCTCCAGCGGTCTAAAGACCCGCGACCTCTTCACGTCTAATGCGGGACTGTTAAACCTGAGGACACTGATAGACATACCTGAGCGGTCACTGCCTCAGGACCGAGGATCGGGTGAGTATATATTCTTTATTTTCACCACTAGACCAAAATGACCACTTAACCTTTGCAGTGCGGGGGTAGCCCCAGTGCAAGGGTTATTTTTTTTTTTAATCCTGACCTTCTTCACCTATGGTACCTTGCTCTGCAGTTCCCTTTTAAGTATTTTTTTTTTATTAGCGGGAGTGGATTTTGTCAGAAAACTCACCTACGTTAGCAGAGACGGAAAAACATCGGTCTAGCCCCGTTAGACACGTCTTCTTTTCCATATTTGTGCAGTCGCCAGTACATTCATAGCACTGCAGAGCGCTGCCTGTAGAAGAAACAAATGAGGTTTTGTGCATAAGTGCATGCGAAGTAATAACAATCTGGGTTGCCGCTATCAACCAAATGTATGAAGTGGTCACCCGCATACCAAGGTCCGTGTTAAACGCCTTCATCCAGACTCTAAACATACATGGTAGTACCAGAGGACAGCGTCCACTGGTGTTACCATGTATATTTAGCATCTGAATAAAGACTCACCCATGGGACCATTGACGTAACTATAGCCAGCAGAATGTGGCCTGGGGGCGGAAGGGGGCCCCATTAGGTTGTTGAGGCATTGTTGCTAGTTTGTATGTGTGACTGCCCTAAAATCTGTAAGCAACATTATCTAATTTTATTGAAAGAGATCCAGAACATGTGCTGTCTGCAGGTGGGGAATCGGCATAGAAGACAACAGCTTCCCTCGGGGCCTCAGGCAGCATCTCATTGGGGGGGGAGGGGTGGCCGCACTATCCCAGGTTGCTAAGAGCTCTTAGCAAGCTGTGATGCTCTATCTGTTGTCCCGCTCTGGAACGTCACCAGTCACCAAGGGCTCAGCGGGATGCTCCGGCATGCAGCTTAGAAACATGGTGCAGCTCTACTCTCTTGTCCCCAATCCACTGCTGGAACCTTAGTGCCTGGTAAAGCTTCTGCCGATGCCTTCACTGAGTAATAGATTAAAAAACGGCACTCGCAGTAGTAGTTGACTACAACTAAGGCCCAGTTTGGGGGCTGAAACATGTAAGCATTTTTTTGTTTGCTGCTTTTATGCCTTTTTGCAAATAAAGTAGTGGATGGACTGCAGGGGTGTCCCAAGGCGGGTGTCACCTGTAGCGGGTACCGGGTGAGACTCCACCGTGACGTCAACACACATGCACACAATGATGTCACGCGCATGCGCGGCCATCTTCGTGATACCTGCCGGCGCCCATCTTGATGATGGATGCTGACAGAGAGAGGAGGGGACGTACACCCGGCAAGATTAGGTATGCCACCGGGTCCGCTCCTCTCGTGCAACTGTCGGGCTCTCGGTCCATGACCAAGTGCCCGACTTTTCAGAGGGGGGTGACACCAGAATGACTCGGTCATTTTGGTGTCACACCTCCAATTGTGTCACTGTGGTGCGGGCCGCACCCCCCTACTAACACCACTGATGGGCGGACCCCCTTATGAGTGCCGTTTTTTTACCTAATGCTCTGACATGCATCCCACATAGCTCCTGGTAACCAGTGACATCAGTGAGCTGGGCAGGATGCTAGACAGAGCCACAGACAGTGCAGTCTGGTATCCTCTGCCGCCCCCACAGCCTCCCCCTGCCACACGTCAAGTGTTGCCTGTCTGCAGCCAACTTCCTCATCCCCTGGAACGACAGTACCTCAGGTGGCATAACCCATAGGGACAGTGCTGACTACCCTCATCATGTCTTTGGCACATGCATCAGGTAGACCCATGGGATCCTATGGCTTATCCCCGTCTACCCCAGTGAAGCATGCCTAAGATGTAGTGTAAAAGTAAAACTGCCCTTTAACAGGCAATTAAAGAGCAACTAAAACTATTATACTCTGATATCTGTATGTGATTCTTCCTGTAATAATATTATTCATTTATGAACATCTTTTTTTTCCTAATTTTTATTTCTTCCTTTCACCGGTCTTTATTTATGTTTTTATTCACATTTGCATTCAGGCCAAGCTGTCCAGCCACAGTGTCAGTTGAGGGAATGGAACAAACCGTTATGGATGCTTTTATAACCGTCAATTTTTCATTATAACATTTAAACAACTTTTGTTCAAAAGAATAAAAGAAAACCCTGTTGCTGTAACTGCTTAAAGCGTATCTAAACTCAGAAGCAAGAATTTAATATATTGCACCAGTAATATATTCACACCTAGGCGACTTATCGCATAGATTGGATATCTCACAAAACACATTGAAGTCAATGGAGGCTGTTCACACCTTTGCGATTTGTCGCACGACCGAAATCGCCTGTCGCACAAAAAGATGCTGGGCTGTTTTTTCGCACGTTTTCGATCGCACGACTGTTCATTGAAAACCGTGCGATTGACAGGCGGTTTTCCATGCATAGAGATGTCTATGGGACCAAACCCCATGACAGGGTTTTCAATGAACAGTCGTGCGATCGGCTTCTTCTTAAGCTGCCCATACACCGTACAAATATCGGTCGATTTTCGTATGCGATCGCGCTTTAGTCCGATATTCGTAAGGTTGATGGGCTGTGTACAACCGCAAATACTGTGCAATCGATCGACTTTTGACTAACCAGCAGGTTAGAAAAGTTCGGTCGATCATACGATTTGGTGGCATTTCCGAACGTCAAAATTTGCACAATCTACACTGCACATGCACAGACGAAAATACGTGCGGTCGATTACCACAATTCATCCAGGTGCTTTCTTCTAATTACCGCTGATGCAACCTTGCGATAATCGGGGCAGGATGGGGCTGCCGTACGAAAATTGTACGACGGTTCGATTGGACAAAAAGTGTCGTCCGATGATCGCAAGGTGTATGGGCAGCCATAGACCGGTCCCTGGAATGTCTCTCCCCCTCCTCTGCAGAGGTCTAAGGTCCAGTCGATCATCACATCTACACAATGTGCATAGAAGTGAGGACGCTGAGGAACATTTCAATCTGCCGCTGTAGAGGGGCTGGAGGGAGGGCCGAGAGATCTGGCCGGCTCGGAACTTTGGGTAAGTATATCCTAAGCACTTAACCCTTGCAGTGTGGGGATAGCCCCACTCCAAGGGTTAATAAAAATTAACCCTTGCAGTGGGTGGCTTCTTTAAATGAGGTGGCTGCATTAGTTTTCTTTAAGCTTTTTTTTTTTTTTTTTTTTACCTTTTTTTAAGTCTGTTATTTGTCAACTTCTTTTAACAGACCAAGCTGTCCAGCAGAAGTGGCAGAAAGAGGGTTGAGACAAAGCATTTACCCCGATGGGGAGCTTACAATGGTTGGCCTTTATTAATTTATATAAACCACTTGAAGACCGCGGTGTTTCACCCCCTTCCTGGCCAGGCCATTTTTCAGTGTTCAGCGCTGCGGTACTTTGGCTGACGTTTATTCCGTCATGCAACGCTGTACTGAAATTAATTTTATACCATTTTTTGGGGACAGATAGAGCTTTCTTTTGGTGGTATTTAATCACCGCTGGGGTTTTTATTTTTTACTATATAACAAAAAAAGTACCCTAAATTTTACATAGTGTGTGTATATATATATATATATAAATATATACTTTTGGGTTTAGATGTGCTTTAAAAATTTTTTTATTGGCAAATGAAGCGTTGTTGCCTTATTAAAATAAGTGGAAAAGTGACATATTTACTGCCAGAATCAACAGGTAAAGAACCTGTTCTAGGGGGCTTAGGAAAACAAAAAAGTATTAATGTTAGTACCATAAATGTAATTTTTGATTTGCCCATAGTTCCACATAAATAAAATCTTTTTATTTTGCCCCTAGTGCTACTTCAAATAAAAATTAAAAAAATATAAATATAACACAGTATTAAGAACATGAAGATAAAGTACATTAATGCAGTGGAGGTCTTTGCTGGTCATTTTACTTACCAATCTGGCAGATGGACAGGAAGGCTAGGACAGTGATGAAGAAGTATTGTTGAATGGTTCCCCGATGTTCTGCAATGTTCTGTTATATGTACTTGGTGCTGTCACTGAAGAGTGTGGTTCTCTGATCTTCCGTTTGCTTTTATACCATCAGGATATCTTACGTTGTAGTAGGTGACAGAGGAAGTGTTCATTTAAATGCCTAAAAAGAGGATGTGGGAGAAGGCTTGATTTAAAGTATTTCTGATCGGCTGGAGGCCAACCTAATCAAAAAGCAACGGCCATGTTTACAGTGACAGTCAAGGCAAAGCACACAAATGGAACCTTCATGAAGTCTGAAATGAGTAAAACGCAGAGTTTCTTTATGTATGACATTATCATATGTTGAAAATTATTTCTTTAAAATATATACATACAGTAGATATACAAAAAAGTAGTAACATATTACACATCATTCCATATACAGACTTAACATACTTAGCTTCTATACCAGCGGTCGCCAAACGGTGGTCCGCAAGAAAATGTTGGTGGTCCCCGGGCCCCTTTGATGCCGTGCAGGCTGGGCCGTCATTGAAGTGGCACAGAGGCTCCCTCTCACTGATTCAAGCAGCGGCTGTCACAAGGAATACGCGGCTTTCAGTATAGTGCGGGCTTTGCAGGAGGCGGGGCATCTCATCAGTACCTGGACTGAGCAGGCTGCGGGACATAGAAAAAGTGGGGAGGAGCCAGGTAATAGTGGCTCAGTGTGGGGGATGCACGGGGGTATTTATTTATTACACACTCATATTTTTTGTTTCCTCATATAAAAATATTTTCTCATGTGTGTGGCATAGGGGCAAGCTTGGACTAAAATTGCAAGGCAAACTAAATATTAGTTTATTGTATTGAGATTGTAGTCCATCACAGGAGCGAGCTTGTAGCGGTGACTACTTTACAACACACACAGGAACCATGGGGAACAAAAGTAGCCACCCTCCAGAAGGAAGGACAGTGTCAGCACCAATTCAGAGATGTTTTGAGGATCTACAGCCGAGTGATACAAAAATAACATACGCTTCTGTTATTAGTTAGGGTACTTGAATGCAGAGCCGTAGCTAGCCTATTTTGCGCCCGAGGCAAGAACAGAAAATTGTGACCCCCCCCCCCCATGTTTTTTTGAGGAAATTAAATAAATAACAATGAATTAATGATATTTAAACCGTTTATTTCAATTACATAGGAAACTAAGATATGTAACTTAACATAAATAATAAACTTACAGTGTAGTTAAAAGGAGAACTATGGGGTCAGTGTTTTTCCCCATAGTTCTCCTTAGGGTAACGGGAGGACAGAAACTAGCGTCCTCCCGTCACCCTAAGCTCAGTATACCGCGAGCTACAGCTCACGGTATAGTGAGACGCCGCAACTGAAGCGGATGCCGACAATTCTGTCTGGATCCACCCAGCTGCGGGATTAACAGCCTCATAACAGATTATGAGGCTGAGTGAAAATCACTCGCCTCATAATTCTCCTTTAAGCCTGTGACACACTACATGCGAAGCCGTGCAGAGCAAAGCTGTCAGGCATGGAGCTTCGCATGCAGTGTGTGAGCTGAGCGTGGCAGGATGAAGGACTGCATCGTCAGCCAATTGGCTCGCACGTAATAACCGAATGGCCTTCGCATCTTGACGCGTGGGTTTATACACGCGAGCCGATTGGCTGAAGATTACATTTTTAATCTCCGCACGCTCAGCTATGCGCGCTCTTGCAAGCTGACATGCCGGAGACAAAATGACATGACACACTGCACGTGAAGGCAGCGGGCCACCGCTCCGCGCTGCTTCGCGTGCAGTGGGTCCCAGCCTGAGGGCCCAGTCACACCATAAAGAGTGCGTTCGGACTCTGGAACGCACTCGAACGAAACCCGGGCAGCTCACTGTGTTTTGGGGTGAGAGGGGGTGTGGCTGCGCATTGAAGTCAATGGCACCGCAGCCATGCGCCCCACCCACAGTGCGATCACCGTCACCCGAATGCTTGTCACATCTGTGCCTGTGTTCCGGTCCAGTGGGATCTGCAAAAAAAGTAGTGCATGCAGCATTTTGGCAGATCGCACTGGACCAGAACGCAGGCACTGATATGCCACGCATTCGGGTGAAGGCTATCGCACTGTGGGTGGGGGGCATGGCTGCGGTGCCATTGACTTCTATGGGGGGAGATCTCTGCTGCATTTTGTGTGTGGGCGGGGGGTAATTTCTGTCGCATGTGGGGGGGATGTTTGTCTGCTGCATGCCGGGGAGATCTAAAGCATGTCAGGGGGAACTATTGCCTGTAGGGGGGATTTGTTTCCACATTAACAATATAGTTGACCTCAAAGGGCTAGGGTCTATGGTGGGCTATGCGTGTTCCAGTGTTCCATCAAAGTTTGTGACTGTGTTAGAATGTGTGACCGTCACATGGTCACACATTTTAACGTAATCCCACCCAGTTTTTCGGCGGTGGAATGTGTGACCGGTCACCGGGTCACACATGATGGTTGCAGGATAAGGGGGTGAGATGTGGTGTCAGGTTGCGGGGGGGGGAGGGTTGTTGGGGCTAGGTTGCAAGAGGGGCCCTTACAAGATTTTGCTATGGGGACCTGTGATTTCTAGTTACGCCCCTGTGACTGAAGGCTGCAGCTCTCCCTATCTGTCCTGTGTCAGATCCGATTCTCGTCAGGGATCACCTCAGGTTGCCTATGCTGGACTCGACCTTGGGACCCGCCTCATCCACCTCACGGCCACACCTCCCCCGCTGCATCCTCTGGCCGGCGGGAGCTCTCCTGAGTCCCTGTCTTCAGTTCTCAACGCTGGCAGCGTGAGAGAGCTGCGGCACCGCTGGCTCCTCAGATCGGCGCTGGCAGCATGAGAAAGCCGCGGCACATCGGCCGCAGGCAGAGCACAATCTTTGGCCGCACTAAAAAATCTTCGGGCCGCGGCGCCACACCCAACTAGTGGAATACCAGTGTCCTGGCTGCGCCCCCACCCAGCCTGCACCCGAGGCGAGTGCCTCACTCGCCTCGCCCTTCCTACGGCACTGCTTGAATGCATTTTTAAGATTTAACGCTTGAGTTTAGTGTCACTTTAACCACCTTATAGGCTTCCTAGATGCGGGTGGGCATTTTAAAACGTACTTGCACTCCCCCACTCATGGGTGCCACCGAGCACGCGCAAGAGCGGGGAAAAGCGGCTTGTTTTTTAAACAGCTGGCGACGGCTGCTTACATGCAAGCATTCGGGTGGCTATAGAGCCGCCCGACTGCCTGTATGATGCACGCAAGTGTGTGTGTCCCTCCGAGACACAACCGTGGGAGAACCTATAAAATTGATGTGAAGACTCTGGGGGCATACCAGTGAGCATTCTATTGCTTATATACATTATTATTGCGGTGAGTGCGCACTACCAAAGGGGTGTTAGAGTGGATTGAAACACGGTGTGGGCATAGATTATCAAGCACTTGTTGAATTGTGTTCCTATACACGTTGAACTGAATAGCACTTATCTTCACTGATTCATCACATTGGATATGATTTAAGTCTGCAGATTTTTCACGATTCTTCCTATATTCATTGGAATAACATTCATGAACTTATAAATTTGCACTTTATTTATTAACATATAATTTACACCAAGCACGATTGTGTACCTTTTCTGCACTTTAAGCAACAGTATGATTATTAATGTTATATTGCTTACCATATCTAGCACATGTAAATATTTTTTATATATTTATTTATTGATTTGTCAATATTGCACGTTAGCACTTTTATATGCAATTGATATAGAGTTGCTATTCAAATAGCAATCTTTACACTGACAGCACTTAATTCACAAATTTATATGCATCACTATTGGAGTCTAGAGGTTAGATAGATTTGTTTCACTATTATTTGTTCTGTAGCGCTGCACATTATTAATAGATAATTCTCAGAAACACGTTTCCATCTGAAGCTATTTCCTAGTTTTACATCTAATTGAAATTTTGACAAATTCTGGGTAACGTTTGCTTTTCCGGTTATCAAGGCGGTGAGCAGAAAAGCCAGATTTATGGTCTAAGTCAGTTGTTCTCATCCTGTGTAACCTCAGGACCCAGCTTTGTCCTTGGTCATTAAGTCCCAAGTGGTACTGCAATGGAATGCGCGGCATTGCAATACCTTGCGTTCGGGTGCAGGTGATCGGAATGTGGGTGGGAGGTGCGTTTGGTATGTTATTCAAATCAATGGCAACGCAACAAACTTTCCACACCAGAACGTGCAGTAGGTTCGATTGCACAGTACAGTGCATTAATTGCATGGGACTGTGCAATTGCACTTTACTAGTGTGAACAGACCCTCAAAAACACTGACAGGCACACAGACACAATCTCACTCTCAGACAGACATTCTCACACACACACACACACACACATACACACTCCCCCTGCCTTATGAGAAATGTAGAGGTACCAGGAGCCATAATGTGACTTCAATCCAGTCCAGGTACCTCTACAGGGCACATGTGGGAGCTGTAAGCAATGCACATATGGATGGAGCTCCCTTATGGCCATACTTCCAGCCCACCCCACCTCAAGCCGACACGCAGGGCTGGGCAGCATATTTTGAATGGCTGCTTGGCGCAAGAACTGACGGTGCTGTGCTATGGGGAGGCTGAGGAACCTCTTGCCTAGAAAAGTGGAAGGCATGCGGCGACCCACTGAACACAGGGACGTGACCCACCAGTTGAGAACCAAGGGTCTAAGTTATAAGTTGAGTTATTATAAATATAGATTGTAGGTAGTTCTAGTATCAGCCCTTCCCCACTTCAAGGCCAAAGTTACAATGTGTATACTTCCATGAACATTTGACAAACAGAGGTGTATTTGTTGACTTTTTTTTTTTCGATTGTATTTCCAGTTGGCAATTTGGTCCAAGAAAACTTAACAACTAATTACTAGAGTACAAATGTTTAATGTAAGCCTAATATAGGGCAGATGTGAGACCTAAACAAATCACATATAATCAGATAAGCAAATGCACAATATGAAAATGTCTCCCTGATTTTCTTAACACAATAATTGTATTAATTTTTAAACACGCAGGAGAGAGAGAAGAGAGGAAAGAAGAGAGGAGAGGAGAGAGAGGAGAGGAGAGAATAAAAAAATAAAGCCTCTCATCGGAGGTTAATCTCTAGCTCTTTGATCCCCAGCCTAACTGTCCCTGGCCCGCCTCTTTCAAAAAGTAGGAAAGTCACTGGTCTTTAATCAGTATTGGCAATAAATGCAGCTTTATTGCATGCAACGTAAAAGTCTCCTTTAAACAAACATTTCCAGCAGAACTCAAAAGTAACACAAATAAAAAGGCCTACTCTACCTTAGGAGGCTAACTAAACAGTAGTGTCCCTCACTACGTCCTACTGGAGCGGCTATTCCAGCTTCCAGTATAAATTAACAAAACCCACAGTCCAATACATACAGTTGTTCTGGCAGACCTTATTCCCCAGATATGCAGAAACTCTCCAGTCTGTGTCCATCCAGTGCAGCCTGGATCTTGGTCTGAGCTCTCTCTCCCTTCCAATCACTATCAGGTGCAGGCTAATTAATAGAGAGAGAGGAGGTTTACCTGTTGGGCCAGGCTTAACCCTTTCCTAGCCAGGGAAAGCTGCCCTTTTCAACCTCTCACTGACATACACCGAATCGTGTACCCTGTCACACCACCTTAATTGCTGGTGGCTGATTTTTATTTTTTTTTAAACCAATAACAATTCTAAATATTCTCCCCCGAGAACCCTGATTAGGTAGGGATTAGCCATATTTCCTTTTACAGACCCAGTCATCCTCGATCTGATTGTTTACCCAAAATACGTATGCAAATGAAAAGCCAATATTCTGCATCGGAATAATATCTGAACCCCCCCAGCTAAGTTCACTGGCCCTTACAGGAAGCAGCCGGTCATGTTAATGATTGGTTTGTATATCTAGGGCAGTTTAATTAAGCAACAGCGGTTACTCATCTCAGATCCTTAACAGAGATACAGAGAACTGGCTTTGTTTGATTAACTCGAATTAAAGCCAGAATGCTGCCAATTATTTATTTTTCATATTGGATAAAGTGGGGAATAGAGTTGCAAATTATGTCAGGTTATTATATGAGTTTGCGACCCCAATGGGGAGATATTCTCTTACTTCTTGTCTCATTGTCACCCCTACAAGTAATGGAGGGTGCTGTTGTGACCAGAACAAAGGCAGCAATAACAACATTAAATAAC